CCCAGGACTTCCCAGAAGGCATCTGGACCGGCCTCCCAGCAGCTGGAGCTGGACTCCCTAGGTCAGCCGTGCAGCACCACTGAGCTGGTGGAGCTTATCAGTCCTCCTGCACATGACTCAGCAGGTACCCTGGTCCTTGCTGATGTGACCTGCTTGAGAGTGAGTGTACCCTGAAGTGCCTGCAGAGCCCCAGATCCAGGGTCCTTCTAAGCCAGCAGCCAGACATTAGATCCCTCCCACCCACACACCCACTGTGGGAAACAAACAGACTCTTGGGACATTGAAGCCCCTGCTCTGTGGGTCCACCAGTGGAGTTCAGGCAAAAAATGCCTTGAGCTCAGACGGAGCTGAATACCAGTAGCCTGTAGGCCACTGAGGTATTCAGGGAATTTTCATAAGGAAATTGTGCCCTCAGTTATCACCAGCGCCTGCTCCACCTTCAGCGCATGCAGCACCATCTATACCTGCAAGGTAGTGCCCTTCCCACATACTCAAGGGTTCTACGTTCTCTAGCACCCTGTCCCTCAAGGCACATTTCCACGCACATGCACACACCTGCCCGCACCTGTCTTTCTGCGCCCTTGGACTTTCCTTCCACAGGTATAGCTGAAACACCAACACACACACTGAAACCACTGGACCTCTCTCATCTTCCTGAAGAATTCTTCAGACACCAGAGAAAGACTGTATCAGTCTGAACTAAAGAATCCAGGAACAAACTGGGAAGGTTAAGATAATAAATGGCCAGAGGTGCGCAAAAGAACACATCCAACAAAAATCAGGACATCATGGCTTCACCAGCAACCCCCAAAATCAATGGATACTCCAATTCATCAGAAACACAGGAAAAAGACTTTCAAGCTATGCTTATCCAGTTATTAGAGGCATATAAAGAGGAAACAAACAAATCTCTCAGAGAAATAGCCATACAAATACAGACAGTTAAAGAGGAAATGAACAAATCTCTCAAAGATAGACAAACCCTTAGCCAAATGAACTAAAAGGCAGAGAGAAACTATCCAAATCAGCAAAATCAGAAATGAAAAGGGGGATATAACTACAGACACTTAGGAAATCCAAATAATCATTAGGTCATACTGCAAAAGCCTATATGCCACAAAATTTGAAAATCTAAAAGAAATGGACAATTATCATGATAGGTTCCATCTACCAAAATTAAGTCAAGATCAGGTAGAAAGATTGAATAGTCCTATATCCCCAAGGAAATTGAAGCAGTCATCAAAAGTGTCCCTTCCAAAAAAAAAAAAAAAAAGCCCTGGGCCAGATGGTCTCAGCACAGAATTCTATCAGACCTTCAAAGAAATGCTAATTCCAATTCTCTTCAAACTATTCCACGAAAGAGAATCAGAAGGAACATTAACTCATTCTACTAAGCCACAGTCACCTTGATACCTAAATCACACAAAGACCCAACAAAGAAAGAGCATTTCATGCCAATCTCTCTCATGAACATTGATGCAAAAATACTTGCAAAATGAATCCAAGAACACTTCAAAGATATCATCCACGATGACCAAGTAGGCTTCATCCCAGGCATGCAAGGGTGGTTCAACATACAGAAATCCACCAATGTAATCCACCATATAAACAAACTGAAAGAGAAAAACCACATGATTATCACCTTAGATGCCAAAAAAGCATTTGACAAAATCCAACACCCATTCATGTTTAAAGTCTTGGACAGATCAGGGATACAAGGCACATATCTAAATATAGTAAAGGCAATATACAGCAAGCCTATAGCCTACATCAAACTAAATGGAGAGACACTTAAAGCAATCCCCCACTAAAATCAAGGATAAGACAAGGCTGCCCACTCTCTCCACATCTCTTCAACATAGTACTTGAAGTCCTAGCTAAAGCAATAAGACAACTAAAGGAGATCTAGTTGGAAAAGGAAGAAGTGAAAGTATCACTATTTGCAGATGATATGATAGTATACATGAGTGACCCCAAAAATTCTACCAAGGAACTCCTACAGCTGATAAACACCTTCAGCAAAGTGACTGGATACAAAATTAAATCAAAAAAATCAGTAGCCCTCCTATATACAAAAGACAAATGGGCTGAGAAAGAAATTAGGGAAACAACACCCTTCATAATAACCACAAAAGACATCAAGTGCCTTGGTGTGAGTCTAACCAAGCAAGTCAAAGACTTGCACAAAGAAAAGAAAAAAAAAAAACCACTTCAAGTGTCTGAAGAAAGAAATTGAAGAAGATACCAGAAGGTAGAAAGATCTCCCATGCTCATGGATTGGTAGGATTAACATAGTGAAAATGCCCATTCTTCCAAAAGCAATCTACACATTCAATGCAATTCCCATCAAAATAGCAGCACAATTCTTTACAGACATTGAAAGAAAAATTCTCAACTTTGTATGGAGAAACAAAAAACCCAGAATTTCCAAAACGATCCTGTACAACAACAGATCCTCTGGAGGTATCTCTATTCCTGATCTCAAGCTGTACTACAGAGCAATAGTAATAAAAACTGCATGGTATTGGCATAGAAACAGAAAGATAGATCAACAGAACTGAATAGAAGACCCAGAAATAAACCCACACACCTATGAATAGTTGATTTTTTACAAAGAAGCCAAAACCATTCAATGGCAAAAAGATATCTTCAACAAATGGTGGTGGTCCAACTGGATGTCTACATGCAGAAAAATGAAAATAGATCCATATTTATCACCCTTCACAAAACTACAGTCCAAGTGGATCAAAGATCTCAACATAAAACCAGATACACTAAATCGGTTAGAAGAAAAAGTGGGGAAGAGCCTAGAACTCATTGGCACAGGAGACTACTTCCTGAACAGAACACCAACAGCACAGGCTCTAAGAGCAACAATCAATATGGGACCTCATGAAATTGAAAAGCTTCTGTAAAGCAAAAGTCACTGTTATCAGAACAAAAATGACAGCCTACAGACTGGGAAAGGATCTTCACCAACCCTATATCTGACAGAGGGCTAATATCCAGTATATATACAGAACTAAAGAAGTTAAAAAAGCAATACATCAAGCAATCGAATTAAAAAATGGGGTACAAAGCTAGACAAAGAATCCTCTGTAGAGGAATATAGAATGGCAGAGAAACACTTAAAGAGATGCTCAACGTCCTTAGCCATCAGAAAGATGCAAATCAAAATGACCCTGGGGTTTCACCTTACACCCATCAGAATGGCTAAGATCAAAAACTCAAGTGACAACACATGCTGGAGAGGTTGTGGAGAAAGGGGAACCCTCCTCCATTGCTGGTGGGAATGTAAACTTGTACGACCACTTTGAAAATCAATCTGGTGCTTTCTCAGACAACTAGGAATAGTGCTTCCTCAAGATCCAGCTATACCACTCCTAGGCATGTATGCAAAAGATGCTCAAGTACACAACAGGGACATTTGCTCAATCATGTTTGTAACAGCTTTATTTGTAATAGCCAGAAGCTGGAAACAGCTCAGATATCCATCAACGGAGGAATGGATACAAAAATTGTGGTATATTACACAATGGAATACTACCCAGCAATTAAAAACAAGGAAATTATGAAATTTGCAGGCAAATGGTGGTATCTAGAAAAGATCATCGAGTGAGGTATCCCAGAAGCAGAAAGACACACACGGTATATACTCACTTATAAGTGGGTACTAGACCTATAAGATAGGATAAACATACTGAAATCTGTACACCTAAAGAAGATAAAGAAGAAAGAGGACCCGGGGTAAAATGATCAAACCTCACTTAGAAAGACAAATGGGATGGACATTGGAAGTAGAAGAAAACAAGTAACAGGACAGGAGCCTACCACGGAGGACCTCTGAAAGACTCTACCCAGCAGTGTATCGAAGCAGATACTGAGACTCTTAACCAAACTTTCGGCAGAGTGCAGGGAATCATATGAAAGGAAGAGGAGTTAGTATGACCTGGAGAGGACAGGAACTCCACAAGGACCAAATATATCTGGGCACAGGGGTCTTTTATGAGACTGTATCTCCAACCAAGGACCATGTATGGATATAACCTAGAACCCCTGCTCAGATGTAGCCCATGGTAGCTCAGTGTTCAAGTGGGTACCCTAACAAGGGGACTATTTCTGACATGAACTCAATGGCAGGCTCTTTGACCTCCCCCCTCCCCCCACGAGGGAGGAGCAGCCGTGCTAGGCCACAGAGGAGGACATTTCAGCCAGTCCTAAAGAAACCTGATAAACTAGGGTCATGCGGAAGAGGAGGAGGACCTCCCCTATCAGTGGACTTTGAAAGGGGCAGGGAGGATATGAGGGAGGGAGGGTAGGATTGGGAGGAAATGAGGGAGGGGGCTACAGCTGGGATACAGTTAATAAACTGTAACTAATATTAAAAATATTTTTTAAATTGCAGAAAAAAAGATTCAAACATTCCATCCTTAGGGAAGCTCTTTAAGCAGGAAGACAATAAATTCAAAATACTTTCAGAAAGTCCTTGAAACTGATCATATTTATGAGGCCACCTCCATTGTATAGTAAGTAATCAATAAAGCTGCTATGAGTCATTCTCACACAAGCACCCAGCAAAGAGGACTGTGCCAATTGCCTAGAAGAAGCACAATCCAGCAAGGTACTTGGAAGAGATTTAGACCAAGCATTTGCAAAGGACATTCTCCAACCTATTGTGCTCTTCAGGGTTGCAGCGTGCTCCATGTTGCTAGCTGTGTGAGCTGTCACTCATGCTGGGATGGGCTTTGGCTACATAGCTGTCTATGTTGTTTATGCACTTGTAATTAACTCCCCTCTCATATTCCTGTAAGTAACCCCAATAAAACTCATTGGTTTACCAAAAAAAAAAAAAGAAAGAAAGAAAAAAGATGAGGTTAGCTTTGAAATCAATGCTTACCAAGAAAGACTTTAGCCATTAGTAGATGATGTATTGTCATCCTATCAAACCAAAGAATGGGCTTTGAGAGAATCAGGGTTTCTAAGGATGTCATGGTGCTTACCCTTTCCTAACATTCCAAAGCATTGGATGTCAGTTGTCCGACACCGTCCTTCGTAGCAGAAGGCTCCACCTGAGTCACAGTACTGTCCATTACGTGCGTATGTGTCAGGCACACAATAGGAATGGTTCCCGTTACAAAACTCCATAAAGTCACATTCATCAACTGACTTTCTACACAGCACGTTAATTGGTTTTAGCTAGAAGAAAACATAAAATATTACTTCCAATGATTCTCACTCTCTCTCTCTCTCTCTCTCTTTCTCTCTCTTCAAAATTTCTATCCTTTTTTTAAGGCTGTTAAGATTAAAAAAAATCTCTGGATCGTTGTGAGTGAAACTTGTGATTAAATCCCATTAGTAAAGGCCTCCCTCATAGGATAATATAGCAGAGGACACAGTACCACATAAATGTGTCCGTCAAAAACAGTGTCCATCTGGGAATCATGCCCACTATCCCAGGCTCAAGAACACTTGTCCATACACATCTGAGCATGTGTGGACATAGTTGGTTCAACCAGAAGTTCCCTTTAGGCCTAGCGATGACAGCTAATTTGGTTATCTACTCTAATACTTTTGCTAGTAGGACAGAGTTTGTAGACTAAACTAAATCAATGCTGTGTCCATTTTTTTTTAAATCTTTTATTTTTTTTTATTAATTACACTTTATTCATTTTTTATCCCCCCATGAGCCCCTCCCTCCTCCCCTGCCGATCCCACCCTCCCTCCCCTTTCTGCATGCATGCCACTCCCCAAGTCCACTGATAGGGGAGGTCCTCCTCTCCTTCTTTCTGATCTTAGTCTATCAGTTCTCATCAAAAGTGGCTGCATTGTCCTCTACTGTGGCCTGGTAAGGCTGCTCCCCCCTCAGGAGGAAGTGATCAACGAGCAGGCCAATCAGATTATGTCAGAGGCAGTCCCTCTTCCCATTACTATGGAACCCACTGGGACACTGAACTGCCATGGGCTACACCTGTGCAGGGGTTCCAGGTCATCTCCATGAATAGTCCTTGGTTGGAGTATGAGTCTCTGGGAAGTTCCCTGTGTTCAAATTATCTTGTTCTGTTGCTCTGCTTGTGGAGTTCCCGTTCCCTCCAGCTCTTACTATTTCCCACTTCTTACATAAAATTCCATTTTTAAAGAATTTATTTTGTGTGTATGAGTATTTTGCCTGCATGTAAGTATGCACACTTTGTAAATGCCTGGTGCTCTCAGAAGGAAGAAGAGGGCATCAAGTCCCCTAGGACTGGAGTTACACAGTTAGGAGGCAACATGAGGCTGCTGGGAAACAAATTTGAGTCCTTTGAAGGAGGAGCCAGTGCTCTTGACCATTCGGGCATCTCTCCAGCTCCACGAGGTGATTTGTAATGAAGAGAAACTTCTCAATATATATACAACATGTCAGAATATTTTGCAAAGTTGATTTTCTAGGCTATATTTTATAACATTTGTGGTTTGTTTGTTTTTTTTTTTTTTAAGAAAAAGATTTAAAAGGAAATGGTAAAATGAGTTCAAATCTGAGAAAGATAACAAAGACTACCGCTGAACGTTTTCCAGCTTTTATTGAAGTCTTTACCTCTTTGTGCTCTCCTTTGAGACTATTCAGTCCACACCATTGGTCACATGAAGACATCACATAGGTGGAGTTTGGTGAGCTTTTGGAAATACTAACAGTGGGAGCAGGGACTGCCCCTAACCCTCCCTTTTGTCTTATTGTGGGACCCTTTTCTTCCTACTGAGTCGCCTTGTCCGGCCTTGATGTGGTGGTATGTGCTGGATTTTATTGTAGATTTATTTTTGATGTCCCTGAGAGGGTTGGTCTTTTCTGAGAAGAGGCAGAGGGGAATAGATCTGGGGGAGAGAGGAGGCCATCAGGGCAGGAGAAGGCTAGGGGAAGAGGAGGGAGATGAAGCTTCAGTTGCTATGTAAAAAAAAAAAAATTAAAACTACTTTTAAAAAAAGAACTATAAGTTCAACAAATCTCAAGCAGAAGACCCATAAAGAAAACCATGTTGATATACATTACCATCAAATTATTCAAAATCAGTGACAAAGAGAAGCCTTAAGGCAGAAAGTAGAAGACATTATAAACAAAATAACAAAAATAAGGATAATTACAAATGTGTCATTAGAGATAGTTCAGGCAAGAAAACAGAATAGCAATACCTTTAATGCACTGCGAATAAAAACGTTATATTTAAACATAACTGGAGGGAAAATATTTTCAAGAAAAACAAAGGTCAAGGAGATGGGGACCAGCTCAGCCAGTCAAGTACCTGCTAAGCAAAGCCTGCAGAGCTGAGTTTGGATCCCAGTACCCACATAACAATCTGGATTCAGCCTTTGCCCTAGCTGGGCTGCCCCATGCGGCCTCAGTGGGAGAGGATGTGCTTAGTCCTGATGCGATTTGATAGGGCAGGGCAAGTTGTTAGCCAAGAAGGGCCTCCCCTTTTCTGAAGAGAAATGAAGGCTGGTGAACTGAGGAGGGTGGAGAGTGGGGCTGGGAGGAGAGGAGAAAAGGGGCTTCTATCTGAATGTAGAGTGAATTAATTAACGAATTAATTAATTAATGAAAAAAGTAAGTGTATAACTCCAGCTCTGGGGGAGTAGAGATGGTTGGAGCTCGTTGGCCGTATCAATGAGCTACAGGGGGAAAACAAAAACAAAAAAAACCTAAGACAGAGAGAAATCAAGGAAGATACCACCATCCGGCCACACTCTCACGAATACACCCCTAGGCCACACAAATACAGTTACCAATCAAAAGCAAAATAAGGCCTGTTTAAGATCTTCAAACTCTGAAAGCCTTCATGGCCTGAAGACCCACGCTACATACTCTACAAAGATGTCCAATGTACCACACACACACTTGGATACAGGCACTTTTGCACATGTTCTCAATGTTGGAAGCCAGAGAAACAAATACCCAAATGTCATCCTTGACTCCATCTGTTGATCTAAATGCAGCAATACAATGAGAAGACAGCCAGGCTGCAGAAAAAGTAACATCCTCCTTGCCAGGCCACAGAGCAGGACATGGCAGCCAGTCCTGAAGAGCCCTGATAGGCTAGGGTCAGATGGAAGGGGAGAGGACGTCCCCTAGCAGTGGACTTGGAAAGGGGCAGGGAGGGTGGGGTTGGGAGGGAATGAGGGAGGGGGTTATGGCTGGGATACAAAGTAAATAACCTGTGATTAATATAAAAAAATAAAAATTTATTTAAAAAGTAAGATCCTGCTTAATGCTACTTAAAAGAAACTTTTTATATAAAGGCTGTTGGAGCTAAATGTGATGAAAGTAAAATAATAATGCCGAATGTATCATGCTATTATATCGTACTAGCATTAATAATAAATTAATAATAAAATATATACATTAATAAAAATAATAAATTAATAATAAAAATGAGAAGTGGTGATATCAGGAAATAAGAAATGTTATTGTATATGAGAAGCTTATTTTGAAGTTGTTCAGTAGGACAATGTAATGATAAGAAGAAGAATACAGCGCAATAGTAATAATAGCACCGCAAATGTGAGAGCATTAATACAGAGAATAACAGAGCTTCAGAACATCCTTTCAAGGACCAGTGTGCTAGGGATAGAGTAAGCGCACTGAACTAGACAGCAAACAATGTTATCAAGAAAAAGGACCTGGCCTTCGCTCAATGTAATTTCATATGAGAATGCTTGCTATTTCCAGTAGGTAACAGGACGTCAGCGACTCGGCCACTGTGTACGGCTGTAGACATGCCATGGCTTGCCCTTACAGAGCACTTGCTGAAGTTTCTGCAGACTTCCAAAGGAGATGAACAAGAAGGGATGTTACTGGTCTCTGTGTGGGTGCCTAACTGAGCTCCATGAGTTCCAGAGTTGGTTTTACGAGACTCAAGCCCCTAAATAGATTTCACCTCTCCAGTCCTGCAGTGTTTTTCCTGGATGACACCGCATCTCAGAGGAAAGCTCTGCCACGACATTTGGCTGGCAGAGGCTGTTCATCTATCTTATCACAGGACCTGACGGGAGGGGAGCCACTCTTCTTACATGGAAGCGTGTCATAATGAAACTTGTCTTATGCACCGTCTGAGCAACGTGATTCGACCATTGCTGAGTGCAGAACGTTGAGTGTCCTGTTTCGAATAGGTCTGTCTTTTCCTTCATATCTGTTGTCATTGCCTTTGGACCTGGTGTCCAGGTGTTGGATACATAAGTACTCACAATTTTATATCCTCTTGATGAATTGTCTCTGTTAGACCTTCTTGTCTTTCATAAATGTTTTGTAGGGTTTTTTGGGGTTTTTTTTTTGTTGTTGTTGTTTTTTCCTCCAATAAGGGGTATATGTTTGTTTTACTTAAAGCAGATATCATAGTAGTATGGAACCTGGACCAAATGGGGTCTTCCCCATCAAATCACTAACAAGAAAATGTCCTACACGCTGATCTTATGGAGGCATTTTCTCAATTAAGGTTTCTTCCTTTCAGATAACTCTAGCTTGTGTCAGGTGGTTGTTAAACCAGACACCAATGTGTGGGTGTGTGGGTGTGTGTCTGTGTGTTTTACTATTTCTCTAAATGACCATGACTGATACAATCCCTCACTCACTGGCTTCTAACAGCATCATTTGCCTCAGTCTTTGTTTTATGCTGTTTACTTTATTCATCCTTTTTTCTTAGTACGTAAACATTACGGGAGCTGTCTCTGAAGAGTTTTAATACTGAGAAAGTGGACACATGTGACATGAACTGCATGGGTACAGGAAAGCAAAGGGCCTTCCCAGAAGACGGTAAACTGAGTTCAACCAATACATATAACTTATCTACTTTATAATTTATAATTGACCTCATATAAGCTACACACAGAAAAAGGGAATGAGAAAAATGGTCAGGGCTACATGTTGGTGGTACAGAAATGTTGGAGATCATAGAGAAAACTTCAGAAAGCCAACTCAGAAGAAAAGAAATGGAAGACATAGCACACAAAAGAACACGGGAGGTGATCTATGATTGAACGAGGCCAGATATGGAATGGAGACAGCTGCATGAGACCTATCATAGAGTTCCCAGCTAAGAGTGATGCTGTTGCTTTCCCTCCCTTTGAGCTATTTATTTTGCCTCAAGAAAATAACCACCGGGGGGGGGGGGGGGGTTGAACGCTGACTCCCTCTTACCGTGCAGTCCTGACGGCAGCACTCCCCAGAGCCACATATGGCATTGGGCTTTAGTCGGCATGACATGGGGTCACAGCACCCCTTGTGAGTGCAGTTCTGCAAAGAAAGACGAGATCTTACTGAGTCCAGTGTGGTTGGCCCACACCAAGCAAAGCCCCGACACACAATCTTATGAACCGTCTCAATAACCCCATTCTCCAGGAAATGTGTGGAAGCCTGTGGACTACCATGAAACCACCCCAAACCACCCAGGGAAAGCATTTCTTGGGCTCTTTAACCTTTTGATATTCTAGTGCTTGTGTCAAGCTTCGTCTGTCGCTACTGTTTACATGTAAATCCCAACACTGAACAGCCTCAGCTCTGCTCAGTCAGGGAGCCCACTACGTGTGGACCTTTGCTTGACTCCTCTGCTTTGGTTCCTCAGGAAAAAAGAAAGAAAACTGTGGGCAGAGTGAATGGAATTTTATGTAAGAAGTGGGAAATAGCAAGAGCTGGAGAGGACAGGAACTCCACAAGGAGAGCAACAGAACAAGAAAATTTGAACACAGGGAACTTCCCAAAGACTCATACTCCAACCAAGGACTATTCATGGAGATAACCTAGAACCCCTGCAAAGATGTAGCCCATGGCAGTTTAGTGTCCAAGTGGCTTACATAGTGATGGGAAGAGGGACTGCCTCTGACATGAACTGATTGGCCTGCTCTTTGATCACCTCCCCCTGAGGGGGGAGCAGCCTTACCAGGCCACAGAAGAAGACAATGCAGCCATTCCTGATGTGATCTGATAGACTAAGATCAGAAGAAAGGAGAGGAGGACCTCCCCTATCAGTGGACGTGGGGAGGAGCATGCATGCAGAAAGGGGAGGTAGGGTGGAATCGGGAGGGGAGGAGGGAGGGGCTTATGGGGGGATACAAAATAAATAAAGTGTAATTAATAATAATAATAAAAAAAGAAAGAAAACTGGAAACTCTAGAGCTGACCCACTAGGTGGGCAATCCCTAGCCACTTGGAACAGAGCCACTTGGATTGCCACTAGAAGCACATGGTGATTCCATATCCACACGTGGCCAGTAGCTCATGTCACGGGGAGGCAGACAGGCACTGCCACCATCATGAAAGCCTCTGTTGACAGTGGACTCATAAATTTTTCCTAGCAACTTTAAGACATGGATTGGGTTATACAGTATATTATTTCTTTAACTGTAGCTGAGTGAGGCTGATTAGTAAATATTAAACCTCCCTGAAATAAAGCATGATTTAACATGCTAACATTTATTCATGTTCCCGCTGCATTTTCTTCTCAGAGACCTTGGTTTTGAAATGGTCTTACTTTGAACGATGCCCTTGAAGTTGTCCATTATAAACTCTCCGAGAAACATTGTCCTATGCCTGATCTGCTCATGACGTCCTCACTTTATTCAATTATGTTGCATTTGTCACCCTGGAGTGTCTACAGAAAGAGAGCTGCTTCGCAAAGGGGCCTATTTATGGCTTTGTTGATTATCATACAGGTGATACTGAAGAGGGTTAGTTTAATGACTACTGCTCAACAGCTGTTAATATTCCAAAAATGAAGATGAAATGTCCACCTTGGAAACGTTTAGCAAACCATAGTTGAGTCACAAAACTGCATATCTAACCACAGACGGATGTGTATGCAAAGCGCTAGGGTGGCTTTCGGGGTGAGAAAGTGGCTTGTGTGGGGGTACAGTGGAGTGTCTCAGGTACTTCATTATGAGCACTCACGACCCTGTCACACATCCTCAGCAGTGCTCACCAGGGGCTGACAGCCCGGAGGACCCGTGGAGGGCTACTCTTCTTCAGCCCATGGTGAAGCTGGGCTCCGCTGACGTGGTAGCACTGGTGCGGCATTGTTGATGTACGCACCAGCAAAGGATAACAGCGGGCAGGCAGAAGAAGCAGGAAGCACCCATTTTCCTCCTTCCTCATGTAGACCTTTTATTTATTTTTTTTTTAATTTTTATTTCTTCATTGACCCATTAGTTACTCCAGGACATCTGCTGGCTTTTTATATATTTGTGAATTTTCCAAGATTCATAATGGATTATGAATCATTAATAGTGCGTGTGTGTGTGTGTGTGTGTGTGTGTGTGTGTGTGTGTGTGTTTTCTTAACTGTAAAAGGAAGATTCTGTAGGCAAAATATGGCTGGTTATTATTTATAGCTGAGAAGACTACTGAGATTTTAGTGGAAGTATTGGGATGAACTCCCTCAACTTCTACTTGTCTTCGAGTTTTGGTTTTATGTTTGTTTGTTGGTTTGTTTTTAATTTCTGAACGGTTGACTTCCTAAACACAAGCCTCTTTAAACACGGGTGTCTTTCTTCCTAATTTCTCTCAGTACTTTGAATATGTAATCCCACTCTCTTCTGTTTTAAAAGACATTAACAGGAAAAAAAAATGCACTTAGAGCCCCGTAATCATCTCTTTGTATGTTCATTTGCCTTAAAATTACCTTCCACTTTAGGCAGTTTTGGTAGCAACCTCATTAGGTTAAAACCATCTCATGACCTGGACCACCAGTTCTCAGTCTACGGATGGCGAACCCCATGGTGATTGAACATCAGGTATTTATAGTCTGATTCCTAACAGTAGCAGAATTACAGTTACCAAGTGGCAATGAAATAATTTTATGATTGAGAGTCACCATAACATGAGGAACTGGATTAAAGGGTCACAGCATTAGGAAGGTTGAGAACCACTGGCTTAGACTATTTGAGAAAATATTAGGACTCGTGAATCTTCTCCCCAAACTTGGGGAGTTTAAAGTAATTGGGGTTTTTTAATATGCTTTTTATAATTTTTTCTTGTTTTTTTCTCTTCTGGAAAATCCCATAACAGGAGTTTCTGCACTTAATGGTGTCGCTCGTACAAGCCCAAAGTGTTTCTTTATCCTTTTACTTTTTCTTTTCCTTCCCCTGTCCTCTGACTAGATTATTTTTGGAAGCCCTGGCCTCAAATTCAAAGATTCTTTCCTCCGGTTGAGCTCATCTGTGGTTGAAGCTGTTATCTGGGGTTGCCGCTCAGGCATAGGTGATACGGGTCTCCCACCTTTCCTAGAACTGTGGTCAAACCCCCATACCCCACTTCGTGTCTCTGGCCCCTTAGTGGTCTGGGCTGGGACATTCGGTGATTCTGATCCTCGTGAAAAGGCAGGGACATTTCGGACACATGTGCCCCGGGGAGAAGAGCTCGGGCAGAATCCAGGCCGCACAGCAGCAGAGCCCGGAGCACTGCGGAGTGAGAAGGCCTTGACATGGTGGACAACAGTGGGAGCCTGGGCTCTGCAGAGCCCCGGAGTCGCGTGAGTGCTCAGGAACCAGAAAATGGAACTTGAGGCTGAGCTAGGGGAAGATCGATGACTCTGCTCTTCAGAGACGTGAGGCATCTCGGGGGCTCAGATTTGTTAACACTTGTCTATGTACGCGGAGGCTGGGCGCAGTGGCTGCTCACCCCATCAGGCAAGGCGACTACTGAAACAAAATCTTGCTATCCCCTTGGAAAGAGCACCAGGGGACACAGTTACTTCTCTTCTGCCTAGATCTGGTCACAAGGCAAAGCAGCATGTGGAGCAGGGAAGCTGAGCACTTCCCAGGTAGCCTGTCCCCAGAGGCAGGAAGCCATAGCCCTTGGTGGGTAAATGTCAAACATCCAGTACTGTAGCTCAACAATGGTAGGGTGTCAGGGGTGAAGCTGATTTGAAGACAGCACAGCACAGCAACAGCTTGGATAATAGTGAGCAGCAGCGTTTGGGTCTGCAGACTGTGTGGTACAGGATTATCTGTAATCAAGATGGCAGGTATCCTCAGCACAGAGAGACCCCTCCCCACCATGTAGGTGGCAGTTTCTTATGGTGACTCCAAAATTAGACTGAGCCTCTGATCTCAACAGAGTTTCTGCTGCTGCTCAGTGGTCTCTGATTGGCTTGGTTGAAAAGTTGTTCTGTGTGTGTGTGTGTGTGTGTGTGTGTGTGTGTGTGTGTGTGTGTGTAATTTTTTTATTGGGGGTGGGCTATTCCTACATGAGTTCTGTATTGACATCATTTCCACTCTTCTCTTCTCCTAGTTCCTCTTGTTTTCCCTCCAACTGACTCTCAAACTCATGATCTCTTCTCTAATTCTTAGCACAAGTATATGCATATAAAACCTATTTTGAGCCCACTCTGTGCTGCTCCTGTATAATATGTGTTTAAGGCTGGCTACTAGGGATTGGATAACTCATGAGGGAGTGAAGAGAGCCTATTACAGACAACTGGTCAGAACACAGAGTGAATGCATATGGGATGCCCGACCCTGGTTGGTATTGTCTGCAGAATTAATTCCTACACCTAAGGCTCAGGGAACATTGTGAAAGGGGTGGCAGAAAGCTTGTGAGAACAAGAGAGGCTGGGTGCCGGCTAGTGTCTTCTAGATCTGACACTAGTGTCTTCTAGATCTGCTGTTACATGAAATCTTTCATATTCAACCCTTCCTCTAACAGGCAACAAAACCTGCTGAGGTCTTTGATCTTATTTTTTATACTATACAGTTATCTTCTATAACTGACAGATTTGATTTTGGAATATTTTAATTAAGAACACATGTCCACAGAATTATTTTTTCCATTTGCTAGGCAGGAATGTATCCTACGGTCTTATTATACACAGTCTCCATTGTTGTGGAAGCTGTGGTTTGTGTTATTGTTTTTGTTTTAATCCCAGGTGTGGGATATGGGACTGATTCGGATTGTCTACAGCAGCAAACTGTTTGCCTCGTGCGGGCTCTGAGAGGGGCTCTTTGCCAGCTGCAGATAGTTTTAATCTGAGGACTCTGGGGAGGAAATAAATGTCAGAGAGTGCTGAGAGAGCTCTGAGAAAGAAGGCGGCTGCTGGCATTCCCCGCCTGTTGCTTTGGCTGCTGTTGATGCAGTTGGATGAGAAGAAATGGATATCTCCTGAAAGGAAGATTGGACTTGCCCCAAGGAACCCAAGGACCCTAACCAGCAGGAAGTAGCTAAAGAGAACTCCACCCCCTCTCCCCACTAACCTTTCTCTCCCACCAGGTATTGGGGTGTTGGATGGGATTGGGGTGGAGAAGGGAGAAAGAGATATAAGAAGCATAAATAAAATAGTTTTTTTAAAAGAATGCCTACACTCTGTGTTGCCTTTTGGTGTCTTGTTACTGTGTGGTGACTAGCAGACTGTGCTGAGACTTGAGAGAGTTTTGCAGTCATTTTCCAGCAGACACAGGCAATAAATAATGACAGAAGGCAGTACTTAAAGGCATTTAAAGAACAAATATGCTAACTTCCTAAGGAAATTTAGGAGACTGGAGATTTTAGGTTCACAAAAGGAAAAAATTCTATTTCAAATCTATTTTACTAAAAGACAGTTCTTTCTGATTTCCTTACTACTACACATTAAAAAAAAACTGAGAAAATTTTAAAAAGTACTACCAACCTTCAAAGTGCCACAGTCGCACTGTTCACTGCCTTCCACTATCCCATTGCCACAAATTCGCCTCGGCCTCTTTTTAACAGCTCTTTCCATAGGCACATCCTTGAGACAGGAGAGGTCTTTGCTTGATAATAGATATTTAAAGTCATCCAAGCTACAAGGACTGAAATCCTTCATGCCCTCAGAATATCTATAATACAACAATGTGTACATGATCAAAGCTGCTGTTTTCTATTTCAGGTCCCATGATGCAGTGCTTTAACAAAATATTTTGAGAACACCATCCTTCACAGGGAACATTAAGCACAATTTTAAACACTGATTGGATTGCTAAGGTGATTTTTTTTTATGCTTTAAAAATTCTACCCAAAACAGTGAAAAACAATGATACCATTCAAATATATATATACTATATTCATATATATATATATATATATATATATATATATATATATATATATACGATCACATGCTGTCCTTATGCACAATCTGGTGCAGGAGATCCCTCAGCACATCCAAAGTGCTAATCCAAGGTTTCCAACTTCTACTATCAAGATAGCAATATCATAGATGCTAAGGTCTCTTACGTGTGTGTGTGTGTGTGTGTGTGTGTGTGTGTGTGTACATGTGTACTCCTTTAATTTTAGAATCTTTAAGTACAGGAACTGCTATTTATAAGTTTCTTCCTAATTCCAAAAAAAAAAATTGAACTTCAAATGTTCAGCCTTAATCTTCAGTATATTTTTAAGTTACTAAATTCTATCTTATATTCTTTTTATACACACCAGAATAAGCATATTAACTTGAAGATTTAAACATCTTCAAATAAAAATCAGTTAAACATAGATCAAGACAAATGTCATGTATTTATCATTTCTGCTTCTCCTTACTACATCTAAATTAAAAATCATAAAATAAAGTGAGAAGTCTGCAAAGCTGAGATATGAGTTACCAGAAACCAACTCCTAGAACCAAAAGAACCACACAGGACCTGGGCATTTTCTATCCAACTACCCTCAAAGGACAGTGACTTGGGATTCATGACTTTAGAACTACAGAACTTGATAGGAAATGATAGCTCAGGCAGGCTCCCTGCTCCCCAGAATCAAATAGAAAATAAAAGGTGGGTACCACCAGCAAAAGAAAGCAGTGAGAACTTTGCTTACATACTGTGACAGAAATATAACCTAGAACAATTATTATATATGAGTGACACTGTCTCAAAAGCGCAAAAAATAAAAACCTACTGAGAGATGCAGGAAGCTTGTCATGTCTATAAACAAAGGAGATGGATCAGACATCAAAGGGACAAACACCTATGTTCTCACAGTTACTACATCACTCTTCACAGATACCAGGACATGGGATCAACCCAAATGTCCATCACAAAATGAGGAGACAAAAATGTGCATTTTTGCAACCATTCAGCCATAAAAAGTATATGACCCTCTCACTCGCAACAGCATGGCCGGACTTGGAGGACATTAAGTTAAGGGAAAGAATTTAGGGACAGGGAGAAAAATGTCACATCATTTCACTCAAAAGTAGGATTTAAAATATTGAGCCCATAGAAGTTGGCAGTGGAATGGTGGTTGCCAGTCACCAGGGAAAACATGGAGAGGGGAACCAGGAGAGAGGTTACTATGAAAGATTGAGGGAAGAAATAAGCTCTGCCCTTTGGGCACCGCACAGTGATTAGAGTTAACATTCACAGATTATTAATCTCAAAACAATTAGGATGGTTTTGAATGTCAACACAGTAAAGAAATAAAATGGAAAGCTATAGATATGCCCATTATTCAGAGTTTATCAATGTACTATATACCCATGAACCAAAATTTCATAATGTCCACTATAATGATGTACCAACGTTATATACCAAAAGGAATAAACTAAGCACTGAGAGACAAGACAAAAGATGAGTTCAGGTGGGGCCCCTAAGGGCACAGACACACAGTGAATGGGGTTTGAGATCCATGTGAGAACAGCATGAAAGCTCCTCAAAATATTTAAAAAGACAATGTCAATTATTTTAAATAAGTTAACATAAATAGAAAGCTAGCCAAAAGCAAAAAATAAAAATAGCAATAAGCAAAAAAAAAAAAAAAAAGTGTGTTTAATAAAGAGGGTCGCCTTACATTGCTTTGGGCATCATGAGGCAAACGTCTCCTGTACAGTGACAGGTGTCAGGGTTGTCGTACGATAGTCCCATACCAAGGCTCAGCAGCTGCGTGACAATGACGCTATAGGACTCTAACGATAAACCTTTTGGATACTAAACACGAACAGAAGGGGAAACAAGTTAACAGAGCAACACTGACTGCACCCGAGAGATAATTTGTTTACACATTCCAGACACCTGCGTGGACGGAACTGTGGTAGAGTTGTAGAGATGTTTTAATGACAGCTTGCTGAACATGGGTGACTCAACATATTACAAGCTACCTTCACAAAGCTAACGCGTGGAAAGCGCGTGTTTTATGGCTTCTTTGAGCTACTTTTAACACCATCTATGTCTTTAATCTTCTATTTAATAATCAAATCTTCTCTCCTCAATGAGTCCCAGTAACCCAGGTTTCCTGGTATCGATGTCCTCTGTGATGCCCTTCTGTTGAGAGGAAGCTAGCTTTGACCTCTTTTGGTGTGTCCAGTAGAGCAGCGGTATGGGGAATCGTTCATGAACTGCTTGTGCAAAGGCTGCCTTCTTGGACTCTCTGTCTCGACCACACTAAGAGTGGGCTGTGGGAGGAAGGAGGGCGACTACTGAACAGGCCTCCATGCATGAAGTTGGAAAAATAGTTTCTGCACTGTGACCACTGCCGGGTCCCTGAGCTTGGATTTTGACAGCAACAACAGCCTCAGAGGGCATTCTTTGCCCACAAGCTAATTTTAAAAGACTGGACAGGTGTCGTGCATGTTTATAAAGTGAGTATTGTAATTTTGTTTAAAGTATCATGTTTGTCTAAATGTTTTAAATTTAATCATAAACTCTTATGTATCATATCTGCTGGCTGTGGTGTCCAGTTTGTATCTGTGAGGACAGAAAGAAAGTTGATAGAGTTGAATATTAGTCAACAAAATGTGCGTGTTTGTGCTGTTAATATCGTAAACAGAGCCTGCCCTCTAGGATTTCGTACAAGGAAGGGATACCTGCTCTCACTGCTTGCTTCAGTGTATAGCACTGAAAGTCTAGAGAGAGCAATTGGTCAAGAAAAGAAAAAGAACACTCTGACAGGAGAAAAAAAAAAAGGTCACTGATAGGGCATTCGGGTACACAAATGCACTTGAAGCAACTAAAACTACCGCATACAGTTTAGTAGCATTTACAATAGTAACACAGGTTAAAAAAAAAAAAAACAGCAGAAAAACAATGCTATTCGTGGCACATAACTAACATAAAATGCTCAGGCAGAGGCTTAATACACCTCAAAATGCAGATTAAACAAAATAAAGATGACACAAATAACCAGAAAGATACTTAATATCAGCCATTAGAAGAGCATAAATGGGGAGCCAAGATGGCAGCGCCGGGAGAGCACTGTGTCTGAGAAGCAGGACAGCATTATCCATGCAGCGACCAGGAGACTGAACTCTGGGCCCTAAAACTGCAGCGATCGTGTTTCCTGGGAAGGCTCCCACGGCGTGGGAATCGGTCGGGTCCACTCTCGGGCCACACAGCCAAAACCCGGAAGAAATCCCGGGTAACTCGGGCTTTGGGTCTCCTGGCTGGAGCCACACGCCTGCGTGTCCTGATCAAGTTCCCAGGCTGATCGGTGGGCACAAGGGTGCCTGAGACTGGGAGTCCCAGACGCAAGAAAACCCCACGGGGAAGCAAAGTTGCGAGTCTGATCACAGGTCACCCCGTCTTTCCCTGGAAGGTCTCTCCGACCACGGGTACCCGCCGCCAGCACAACTGAGCTCCCGCCGTGCAGAGAGCTGCGCGCCCAGCTCACCAGTACAGACGAGCTGCGCGCCCCAGTGCAAAAGAAACTGGGAACACCTGTCCAGAGGGGGCCCCACAGGGAAGGAAGAAACCGTGCTGCTTAGGTCACCTAGGCTTTGCCTGGGGAAAGTCTAGCAGACCGCAGAACGCAAACAGGCGAGTATGCCCAGTCATCACAGATCCAGGCCCAAGCAGGGAGCACAGAGTTATTGGGAACCCAGCTCCCGCAGACCAGCAGGGAGGTGCACGCTCCGCCAGCCCAGAGGCCTGCTTTGTACCAACTACTCCTTACAGACAGAACTGTGTGCCCCAAGACACCAGAGTCTTAGAATCACTGTCTGGAGAAACCCTCACAAGGAACAAGGAACGAAGCAAAGGGGACGGACTTAGGCAACCCAGTATATCCCCAGAAAAGGTCCCACAGACTGACCCAACCCAGGGAACTGCTGTGCCCCAGATAGCCTGCTGTTACCAGGAGAGCAGTACTTACCCGCCACAGATTACCTCTTGGGTTCTGGGGCACAGAGCCCCAACCTCAGACCTACAAAAAACCGGGAACCCTGAGATCAACCCCCAGATACTGCTCTAAGGGGCAACCAGTTATCCCTAACAAAACCGACCAAACCACGGGACACACAGGTCACAGCAGCTGATCACTAAATTTACAGCAAGAAACCCAGAAAAAGGGCAGCTGTCTCCAGGACTTCTCCCGGTGAGGGGAGAGCCCTCTTGACTAATCAGGACCACAGTTACCACCCAGGTCTCTATGCCTGAGGTGAGCTGTAGCAACTCCTGAAAAACACCGGCCATCCAGTGACTACACCCAAAAAGCTGAGAAGGCTTCCTTCAGGAAAAACCGTCTTCCTGCCAAAGGGATTCTCTCCACTACAAGAGTCCAGGAACAACCAGAAACTAACTTTAATCAACTAAGATAGCCCAATGGGTAGAGGACAACGTAAAAGTTCAACCAACAAAAGCCAGAGCAATATGGCATCTCCAGAACCCAGTTATCCAGGGGCAAATAGCCCTAGACACCCCAGCATAATTAAAATTCAAGAAGATGACCTATCATCTATGCTCATGAAGAAGATAACAGAGGAAACAAATAAAATACGAAAAGAAATAGAGGAAGCTGCAGCCAAACAGTTTGTGGCCTTTAGAGAGGAAATGCTTAAATCACTGAATGAAATAAAAGAAACAGTGGATTGTTCAAACAAACAGCTGAAGGAATTGACGGAAAAACATGAAAATACAGTCAGACAGGTGAAGGAAACCAACAAAATAGCTCAAGACCTGACGATAGAATTGGAAAAATTAAAAAAAAAACCACAAATGGAAGAAATTGTGCAGAGAAAGAACTTAGGGAAGAAAGCAGGAACTACAGAGGTTAGCATAACCAATAGGCTACAAGAAATGGAAGAAAGAATCTCAGGTGTGGAAGATACAATGGAAGATATAGATGAATGTCAAAGAAAATGTTAAATCTAAAAATTCCTGACACAGACCGACCAAGAAATTCAAGACAACATAAAAAGACAAAACCTAAGAATAATAGGAATAGAGGAAAAAGAAGATTCCCTGCACCAAGGCCCAGAAAATATTTTCAACAAAATCATTGAAGAATATTTCCCCAACTTAAAGGAGAGGCCAATAAGAATACAAGAGGCCTATAGAACACCAATAAATTAGACCAGAAAAGAAAATCCTCCCGCCACATAATAATCAAAACCGTAAGTATACAGAACAAAGAAAAATAGTAAAAGCTGCAAGAGAAAAAGGTCAAGTAACAAATAATGGCAAACCTATTAGAATCACACCTGACTTTTCAACAGAGACTATGAAAGCCAGAAGGGCCTGGACGGATATCATGCAGACCCTAAGAGAACACAGATGTCAGCCCAGGCTACTATACCCAGCAAAACTCTCAGTCCTCATAGACGGAGAAAACAAGATATTCAATGACAAAAACAAATTTCAACAATACCTAAAAACAAATCCAGCATTACAGAAGACACTAGAAGGGAAAATACAACCCAAGAAAACTAGCCACATTCAAGAAAACACAGGAAATAAATAACCCCACTACAGTAAAACAAAAAGCAACCAAGCACACAACCATATGATCACAGCCAACATCAAATTCAAAGGATCTAACAGCCACTGGTCATTAATCTCTCTCAATATTAATGGACTAAATTCTCCAATAAAAAGACACAGACTAACAGAATAGATGTGTAAACAAAATCCAGCAATCTGTTGTATACAAGAAACACACCTAAGTCAAAAAGGTAGACATTACCTGAGGGTAAAGGGATGGAAGACGGCTTTCCAAGCAAATGGATGCAAGAAGCAAGCAGGAGTAGCCATTCTAATATCTGATAAAATAGACTTTCAGCCAAAATTAATCAAAAGAGATGGGGAAGGACACTTCATACTCATCAAGGGAAAATTCCACCAAGAAGACATCACAATCCTGAATATCTATCCCCCCGAATACAAGGGCACCCACATTTGTGAAAGAAACATTGATAAAACTTAAACCACACATAGATCCCCACACACTAATAGTGGGAGACTTCAACACCCCACTCTCAACAAAGGACAGGTCAACTAAACAGAAATTAAACAAAGAAACAATATCTCTAACAGAGGTCATGAATCAAATGGACCTAACAGACATTTACAGAACCTTACACCCAAACACAAAAGAATTTACCTTCTTCTCAGCACATCATGGAACTTTCTCCAAAATAGACCACATAGTTGGTCACAAAGCAAGCCTCAACAGATACAAGAAGATTGAAATAATCCCTTGCATCCTGTCTGATCACCATGGAATAAAGCTGGACCTCAATAACAACAGAAATCAAAAAGCCTACACATACATGGAAACTGAACAACTTGCTACTAAAAGACAGCTGGGTCAGGGAAGAAATAAAGAAAGAAATTAAAATCTTCCTAGAATCAATGAAAATGAAGACACAACATACCCAAACTTGTGGGACACAATGAAGGCAATGCTAAGAGGAAAGTTCATAGCACTAAGTGCCTTCAAGAAGAAATTCGAGACAGCTCATTCAAGCAACTTAATGGCTCACTTAAAAACCCTAGAAAAAGAAGAAGCAGACACACCAAAAAGGAGTAGATGGCTGGAAATAATCAAACTCAGGGCTGAAATCAATCAATTAGAAACAAATAAAACAATTCAAAGAATCAATGAAACCAAGAGCTGGTTCTTTGAGAAAATCAACAAGATAGACAAACCCTTAGCCAAGCTAACTAAAAGGCAGAGAGACACCACCCAAATCAACAAAATCAGAAATGAAAAGGGG